TAACGTAATTCTAAGATAATTGAATGACATCCTTTGTAAAACTATACGGGGCACGTGCTTTGGCACCCGTATCTGCCTCGAGCAGCAACCCTATTCTCAAAATTCCGGACAATCCACCGCATTAAACGTAATTTATTAATTGTTTATTTTACACAAGTCTGTGTTATTTTGGCCAGAAATAAATAAGATGCAGATTAAAACGTATAAATTACTGTACGATGTATGTAAGCGTGTCTTCAGATGGAGTTAAATTCTGTAAAATTTACATTTAAAATCCCGTATAAATATCGTTTATTAGTTGATAATAAAAATTTGATCGACATAGGAATATTTTAAAACGAATTTCCTTTTATTTAAAGACTAATCCGGCGCCAGTTCGGACCTTCTCCGCCGCTTAAGGAAGAGTCACGCTACAACGTCGCCCTCTGGAGGCGTGATACGACAACATTTCTCGTTCCCCCCGGTGTCCCAAATATATTTAAGTCGCTAGTTTGGGGGGTGGACTTCCTTTTCGGGCACAGTTGGCCGGACAATAGCGTACTCCGATATTGTATTTTCGTCACCGTTTGTTGGATGCTCGAACGGTTAGGAGAAAAGAGTGGGATGACTCGGACCAAAAGATAAATGCTAAACGAATGGAGTGGAAGAATGTCTTTTTTCGCTCTGCGGGTTTTACAACATGACTTGTTTGTAATAAGATCTTTTCTCTACACTAGGATCTTCCTTCTGCGTTTGGTGCCACCAGAAACTCGCTCCATCTTTTTCTATAGATAATTAATTAAAATCGAGCTTGGAAAAATACATCCAGACGTCATCACCGAAACGTCACAGAAGAATCGGTGTTACCAGATGGAAAAAAAGTACAAAAGCGCGAGCGGGCGACGGATGCCTTCCGAAAGTTGTCACCTTGGAGATGATTTTCCTGTCAGGGGACACCTGAAAGCGGGGTGAGAGGACCCATTCCGCTCCTTATCCCCCCACTAAGCCGAACATCCGAAAATTATGAGGCCCTATCCATCTCGTATAGTATCCCGTTGAAAAGCGGAACGCTCATCAATCAAATTTGGACGGAAGGGCAAACTGCAGCCTGGTCTCGACATAGCGATACTTGGGCTTGGGACGGTGCCAGCTTGGTGCATTTCGGAGTCTTTCAAAGCCGGGCTCGCGCTCTTAGATCTTACTTAAGGAAAACAAGGAAGAAGAAGAAGAGACGGGGTTGAACGCTTGCCAGCAAGAAGGGTCATTGAAATGCTGCGCTCTTCTAAACAATGAAAACGTCGGAAAGAAACACCCGACGACCGAGAAACGTGGGTGCAATTTTCGACTAGAAAAAAAGAAAAAATGTGGAGGGGGTGGAAAGAAGCGTAGTCTGATTGCTTTTCCGCATTCTTCCCGATCGAACGTTTTTTTTTTCCACAAACCGGTATTATCGGCTATATCTGAAAACAGCTATGCTTGCTCCTATCCATCACCGGGACCGAAAAGTCCGATTTCGTTCTATTCTTACCCAGACAGACCTTAAACTCGTATATCGTTTCTGTTCGACATTTTTCTTCATTTGTGGGTTTGAACACTAGCTATTTGCCGAGTCGTCGATAATAGAAGCGATATACTTCAACCGGTGAATCGCGACCCCCTACCAAGTAACAAACTTTATTATTCGGTAGTAGAGGAGTGGATAAACTTCCCTAACGATTTTTTCCACATTTCATTTGTTCCTACCAATAAATTCGTCTTAAATTTTTGACATTAATAAGGTCTTTTATGCAAAAATACTTCGCGTGACACACGAAACAATGTAAAATAAAACTCGAAGGCTTTGAAATTGCCATAAATAATTTAAAATTTTTGTATAAAGTTTTAAAGACGTAAAGGTACAAATTTAAAATTTCACACGAGAAGTTCTGTAGATGCGAATTGGAAAATGAGTAACATTAAACGAGGGAAAAAAATATGAAGTTTAAAGTCTTTTTTTTTCCCCAGTCGAAAGAGTGATTTTTTGCCGTAATTTCCCTAAATTAGGCTCTTTTCTCGCCCCTCAATAACAATAAAAATTCCGATCAAATTTGCCAAATTGCAGATGCATATCATTTTGATTGCATAGTTGTAACTCGATGATTATCATCTCCCGTGCCAATGATGTAGACTAAATTATGTTACGAATATTCACACTAGAATTCGATTAATGCACGTTCAAATTATTTAACAAACGAATCAAACTGTATAAAAAATATATATATATATATATAAGCCCAAGAATATAATTAAAACGTGCATAAAGGATGGAGAGAAATCTTCTGAAAATAATTGTTTATATGCGCCGATGATTTTGTACCTTGGACATTTCTAAATTATCGAAATTCCTCTATAAATTACTAATGACAACATTCATCATTCTCGTAATTACGGTTCTTTATTGTAATTTTTAATGAGACACACTTACAATCGCGTAATGTGAAAACTAAATTTATAATGGTTTCTCGTTTTTAATTCCTCAATAAATACATTTCGAGTGTTGTAACCGAGTTAAAAATTCAATGTTAAACACCATAACTTATTTAATTTCGAATTAAAATCCTATCTAAATACATCTCTTAATATTTTAATAATTAATATATGCAATTATATAAACTTGAGATAGGAAATTCTCATCTTGGCTCTGGAAGATCTCATCTTTTGTCGGATGAACTTTTAAACTTTTCAGTCATTATCGTATCGATTCATTATTTTATGTCTGCTTATATTTTTGACCCTTTCGTATAGATTTTATACGTAAAAAATTCATTTCTGTCTTTATATTAATTGATAAAAATCATGTAAAATATTATTATTTTATAAAAAAAAAAAAAAGAAAATTAACCAAAGTTTAAGTTTGTAAACTTCTTTTGTATTGTTGTAACTATTTTTAGCTCGTTTTTTAGTAGAGGGAGGTCATCTCTTGCTCGTTCGAGCATCACCATATTTAATCTTGCAATAAAATAAATAAATCAGGAGCAACCTCCAATAATAGAAGCCAAAATAATTCTGATTTTTTTTTTTCACATTAATTACGCCAATATTTTTTTTCTTCTCAATTTATTAAATTATTTAAAATATTTAACGGTTTTTAATTATGTCACTTGAATTTTACGTTAATTTACTTGATTTAAAGGGGAAAAAAATGTCTTATTTTAACGCATTTCAATAAGTTACGAATGAAAATTAAATTGATATTTTATAAACTCGAAGTTAAATCTTTCGACTTTGAATCTAAAAACGTAAAAAAAAAAAAATGTCGAAAAATCTTTCGATTTTCCAGAAAATCATTTTAAAATCTAAAGGCGTAACGTACAGAATTTTAAAACACGACCCGATCTGCAGGTGTTTTAACGCTTTCAATCTCAAAAAATTTTTTTTTTTTTTTTATTTTGAAGGATTTTTCTAATAATTTTTAAAATAAAAAATATATATATAAACCGAAGCACAAAATTAAAAAAAAAAATATGGCTTCTATAAAAAACATTTTAAAGCAATGATCTGTTATAGATTAACTTTCCATTCAGTTTAGACGAATAATAACTGTCAAAGTGACTTATTGTCAGTCGTGTGTGTGTGTATGTCTGTCTGTTAAAAAGTTAGAAAAATACGACTAATTTGTTCGAATAATTAATATATAAGAAACTATTCAAATACTTAATGGAATGAGGATAAAAGTGTATTCATTCTTTAATTTTAATGATATATTCTTCTTGTTTTTTTTTATTTATTAAAAATTATGATGACAAAATTATAAATTATCTCATTTTTTATTAAGTTGACATCCGATTTAAAGTACAGTAAATGCCGCTGACTTATTACAAAACTGGGTAATTTTTTCCGGTTTTTAATTTGATTTTTTTTTTGTAATATTAATTATAAAGTTAAACTTTCCGGATAATAATCGTATTTAATAATAAGAAAGTTAACTTTAGACAATTATTTCTATTTTTAATCTTAATACTTTGCAATTTTTCCGTACGGGAATCGAATCTGGACTCTACCGCCGGAAGTTTCTCGCTCGTACATTACCGTGTAAAATGAAGGAATTACAGATGTTTTATTATAATAAAAAACGCATTAAATGAGTTAAATTTATTGTTAATATATTCATATTTGTGTAAATAACGTATGAGATCATACAAAAAAAAAATCATTTAAAGAATAAAAGTTGGAGTTAAAATTTACCGATTTGTATCGTAATTCGGAGATAAAATTATGCATTTTTTTAAAGAATTTTTACTTTGTTTGTTTCTTTCTTTTCATTAATTACAGCGATTATTTTAGTTTTATTATTATATATTAAACACTAGAAGAATGCTTCAAGTAATACTTGATCATACGTTCGATTTTCAAAACTCGCTCGCATTAATTAGATTACTTATTCATTTCGATTTATAATTTTAAAAATAAAATTCATTCCAATGCTTTAATTATTTAGAAAATTTCACTATTTAATCTGAATTTATGTTAATTTAAGTAGAGATGCGCGCTTCCTAATTGTTATCCCGTTAGGATACGCCTATTAAAAGTTAAATTCGAGTAGAAATCTTGGACTTTAAAAGCTCCGGAAGTAAAGAAAAGAAAAAAAAAAAAAAAAACTATTGTTAAAGTTTCCTATTTAAATTTAAATAGACTCTACAGTTTAATTTTTCCTTTCGTTTTGACAGCAAAGGTATGCGAATTCACTGATAATGTTTTTTTCCGCGCCAACAGTTGCTACACTTTCCTTTGTATGACGGGTTTTCTTCTAGATTTTTATTTATCGAACATTACTTTACGTTTTACAAATAACTAACCTCTCAAGCATTTCTGTTCGTCGGTGGTCGTGCTACATTAGATACTCGATTAACCGTAATACTCGTGTTAGGGTGGAAAACATTTGTTAATTTATTTCACTCGTATCGATTACCTGTGCGTGTGAATATTTATATAACTTATATAAGGCTATATATATAAAGAAAGAAAGGACACCACAAGAAAGAAAACATACAAATTCTCCACTTTTTATTTTCTCTGCTATTTTTATACCTCCACAACTTTAATTCCACATGTCCGGTGTTCTTAAGTTTGGAGGAAGTGGGATTCAACATAAATAACAGTTTCCTCTTTTTTTTTTATTTCACACATCATCAGTTTATCATTTCTTCATCTAAACACTATAACCCAACAGATGGGGGAAATAAATAGGCCAGTACTAGGTTAAGACATCAAACACACCAGAACAATTCCTAGTACTGCACCTCTGAGCTGTTCCCTCCAAACAACTGTATATACTTACAGTGTACTTCAAACAAACGCGAATATTACAGAAATAATACTTTGTCATTGAACAAAAACGAGGGGATGAGGGAAATTACGTACCTAAAATGCACGAGGCCTTCTAATTGTATTATTATTATTATTTTTTTTTTCTCTCGACTAAACAACGAATTCGGTTTAACTCGTATTTTTAATCACTTCTAACGCTTATAGAAAACGAAACTGAAAACAAACCCAGGCAGCCATTAATATATTTCGTTTGTTTTGTTTTTTTTTTTGTAAATACGATAAAAAGGTGGCCTGTTATGTACACTGCCTAACTATTTTGTTTTTTTTTTAATACATATCCCAACTCCGACTCGATAAGGGGAGAGGGAAATTGGGGTAAGGGATGGACAGGAGAATAACTTCCGTTTCAGCGTCCTTATTTACTTTTTTTTTTTTTTTTTAAATAACTTCTAGTGATGATGAGCTACGTAATTATCTAAGTGTCTACGTTACTAGATTACGTTCCGTCGTGGGTCGGCTCCGTGAGCCCAAAACTTGAGGACGACGATTTATTACAAGAAAAAGTGAACTACTTTCCTACGGCAAAAGCGCCTGTCCGCTTACAATCGGGAGGAGAGAGGAGAATGGGGAGATGGGAATTTCCTTATATATATATATATATTTTTTTTTTATTTATTTACTTGGATAAAGGTAGCCCGAATATGTAGACAGAGCAGAACGCTTAATTTTTTTGTCTGTTTTTGTTTATTTTTTAAACAAAGACAGCAGCCGATGTTGTGAGAGAGTGTTATAATTTCTTTTGCATCACCGAAGGAGAAACTGTTATCTCGTCTCATCGACTCTGAACGGTTCTTAAGAGAAAAAAATTGTCACAGCTTATCTTATATTCTACATTTTTTTTTTCTAATCTACGAGAACCTAGCAAAATCTACGAGGTTTTTTTTTTTTTTTAAACGAATTCGCTCACTTCCTACGGTTGGCTTAAATTTTACGATAACCTGTGTGAAGTTACCGCCGTTTGAATAATGAAAACACCTTTTTTTTTTGGCAGAACAGGAAAGATCCACCCATTCTAAATGGACAAAAAGTCTACATATCCGTTCACTTTTTTTTAAATTTTTTGTACACCAGGTTTATCTACTATAAGTCTTCTACGTCAATTTTCGGGACTTGGCATATTTGCGACTTTATATCTGTTTCTCTTTCAGATGTGGCAACTGAATACAGGTCGAGCACAATCCAGTATGAAAATATCCGCTTATATTTGTTTATTTGTTTTTTTTTTCTTTATTAACAACTGACCACTAATTCCAAAGGGTCGTAAAAGTCTGCTGAGGAATATATTTAAAAGTAATTACGTAAGCTTTTTTACAAATAAAGCTTTTGAACGTTTTTAAATATTTGTTTTTTCCCTTTTCAAAAATATCTGGAAGCAACTGATATTAACGGTGAAGCGCTAAAAAACAATATAAAATTTGTATTCTTTTTATATTGTCGTTATGAAAAAAGGCAATATATATATAATTTTTTTTTTTTTTTTATATATCTTAAATCTCCCGATGATCTCTCTCTCTCTACATATTTATTTACTTATTTTTATTTATTTCTTTTTTTTTCCAGTATAATGGAAGCAAGGTTCGAAAATAGGACTCTAATTTCTTTATCTAAATTCCAAAAAAAGGGACAAAAATGGAGATTGTAACGGACACTGTACATGTTGAAGCGGGGGGGAGTAATCTTTTATATCCATTTCCCTCTTTATTTGCTGCTTGGAAGCCTATTAAAGGCTGGGTGTCTCCATCAGGAAGTTACAGCATATAGAACAGGTGCTTGGAGACAAAGATGTGCAGACAACAAAACGAATGCAACAAGCGGGGATCAATCGACCAACACGGGACAATACGTTATTTTTCATTATAACACGGTACAGAATATAACATTGCAGGATTTTATTATTATTATTTTTTTTTCTTTGCCTTTAATATTACTACTCTTTAAACGGTGGCAAGAGGGACGTTAAGCCACCCGCAGGTTTCCTTTTTTTTTTCGGGAGGATAAACTATATATTTATATATATATGTGTGTGTGTACATATATATATATACACATATATATTTATATATATATATATATATATATATATATACTGCGTGCGAATTGAAATCTGACTCTCATACACGCGGGTCTGATCGAAAAACAAGTGATCTGAGAGATTGTTTTGTCCAATTCACAACCACAATCCAGCAACCAAACAGTCAGTTCCTACAGATAAATACGAACTATCTCAATTGTTTTTTTTTCTTTGTTTTCTACAACAGTTTACAAATGCAGGACGCGAGATTAATATTATTATTATTTTCTGTTTTCCTATGCTCCCCTTCCGCCCATTTAACATACAGACAGACATTCGCGTATCCATCGTAGTCTGTTCGTATATTCGGACGCGTAAATACGACTTGTAATTTTATTTATTTAGAGTTTTTTTTTCTTTCTAACTTTCCTTCGTTTTCCGTTCAACAGCAAAGCATTAGGGCGACGGAAATTTGGACGATGAACAGACACAGCTAATCGGAACAGAGGTACTAAACACAAGAGGTGCTATAGTAAGATTACTTAATATATATATATATATCATATATATATCTTATATATATGTGTATATATATATTTATATGTTTTTATATGTGTATATATATATATACACATATATATATATTTGCTTGTATGTATATATGGATGTATATATATATGTTTATATGTATCCGTAGACAAATCGCTTAGGAGCCCAAATGCCCATTGTTCAACTTTTTCCAATAATTTTTTTAATATATATATATATATTTTTTGGTGGGATCCTATGATGAGTCGTTATTAACTAAGTTTTTTTTCGGGGGTGCAAATGTATCGACCTGGCTTCAGTTACTGAGCCTGATACTGCTGCATAGGATAGGTACCTATCATTCCTGGTTGTTGAAGACCTTGACCCATGGGATTCTGTGCTGCGGCTGCTGCTGCTGCTGCTGCTGCCATTTGAGGTTGACCAGGAATACCTTGCCATGCCATCTGCATTCCCATTCTGCCAATAAAAAAAAAACACAGAGAAATATTTAAAATTATGGAAGCAAACAAACCAATTTTTATACAGTAAAAATTCATAAATGAAAATAGAAATTTTATATATAAAATTAATAGAATTCAATTAGCTAAATGAAAA